GCGGAGCGTTGACCATTCTCGTTCCTTACACGATGTGAGTGTGTCGATACGCATCTCCATGTATTCCGCAGGCCCGTGAATCCACCGAGAGTCCTCTTGGTCCTCGGATGTAGTGGTGGAATTCACGCTGCAGGGATCGCGGAAGAGCAGGTTCGGTATTTCGTGAACAAGCCTAGGCAGTATCAGAGCATGGGTGTGGAAAACTTGCAATGATGGTGAGCCTGTGCTCATTCATTTTATTCCCTATCAAACCGGCAAGCAAACCACGGTCATCCCAATTTACGACTTTATCTGTCGAGTTGCATTATCCTCTGTCCTGGCAGTGATAGATGCCGCGTTATGTTGCGATGTGATCGTTTTTCATAGCTTTAGCGGCTACAGGTCTCCTGGGCGGGTTTGTGTGGCGTACTTTTCTGGGACTATGTGCGCGTTCGGCGTGTATGTTTTATTCATTGCAACCATGTACATTGTGAAAAATGCGGCCATAAAGCCTGCCTGCAGAACACTGTCTGAATGTACGATCGCTTACTACACAGGTATATCATACGACCAGTTGTCAAAAGCAGCGACGTGTGTCGATAACATCGGACGCTTATAGCAAGTCAAAAACTAATATCACATTATGAGCATGTCTGCATACTATTGTCATGACTACCAACAACATCTTTGCTAGCGTCCTGTGCAAGCCGCACACGGGTTTCCGCAGCGCATGCTTATAATCACGACCTCGGAGAAGGAATTCGCGTCAGTTATCATTCCATACCCCATCTTATTTTCACATATAATGGCTACAGAGAAGTCATCTGTTCAAAGGTCAATGTGTTCGCCTCGTGAGCATGCAATTTGATTAATCCATCCTATTACTGTAGGCTTAAAGAGGCTTTGAATTTCATCACCTTTTCGTTTTGCTGTGGGTTTGCGTGCATCTTTCTTATCTGGTGCTTGCTCGTTATATATACGTTACAAAATCGCTCCTTTAGGTCTATTCTTCTATGACTATCTTCTCACGTCTATCCGAGAAGTTCAGCTGGTCTGGAGGCGAAGAATTACAGGAGCAAGCATCCTGTTCATTCTAAACCGTTATTTATCGGTCGCAGGTTGTGTCAATTATCTAGTAGGATATGATGCCCACACATGCGGTGATCTTTGGTGCGGTCTGCAGTTTAAATAAATGCCTTGACTCTAGATACAGATACGCACAGGTCATCAGCCATCCTGAAAGATGTGTTGTATGATGCACTATTTATGATACGAGCAGGTGGGCTGTATCCTGTCTTCCATCAGGATATGATTAGCTGACTGATTTTCTTAGGTTTTCATGCATTGCGGGCGTATGCAATAAGCGGAGGAGCTCGCGCGTCGTCCCTGGCTGTTCTGATACTCGGAGTGGTCCCAGCAGGTAATAATATCGTGAGCCTCAACGATCCATATCTTCAGTATTACTGATCAATCATATGCAAGTATAATTACATGAATGAAAAGTGCAGTGGCTCTCCTGGTATGGAATATGATACTCTTCCACTCCCTATTCAGTTGAAGTGTGTACCAAGTATAGATTTTTCCCAGCGATAGTCTTAACAAATCCTTGATATCATAGATGTAACTCTGTGATTTGGTATCGACGCCGAAAATTCCAGTCCTAACCATTGTGCCCGTAGACGTGATAGGTACTAGGATATCTGTCATAATGTCTGACATCCTGATGATCTGTATAACTTGGCGCACAACCTATGGCATCGTGCAGTCCGTAAAACGTAGCAAAACACCAGTGCTAGTGCTTATATTGAGAGATGGCAGGCCTTTTTTTGCATCTGAATTGAGAAGCTGTTGAGCCTGATGATAATCCTATTTACAGGTTCCATCTACTTCCTGTACGTGTGCAAGCTAGCCACATGAACTCACAGCCTACTCAGAACTATATTTGGCAGCGTCTTCCTTACACTCAATGTCACCGAGATCATCATGTGGTCGACCAACGTAGGTGCTACAGACTTTATGCATGCAGCTAAATGAGGAAGGTTCTCCCATAGACATTCAAAGACATCAGCTTTGTCACGCAGTTGTACGGGAAAGATTCATTCCTTCGTTGAGTCGTTGAGCTGACCACTGGCATACGATCTCTAGCCTAAATTCTATCTTGATATCTCGGTTCTATCTGAATCTTCGTGAAGAGGTTCATGGGAATGGACTCGGTCCAGACACATCCGTCATATCCGATGTAAATTTTGCTGCACAAGTCGTGGGGAACATGGGATCAACGCTGGATCATGGGAGTCAAGATTTTGAAGCTTTCGAGGTCGAAGAAGATGCATCACACCATGGGCACGATGGACTAAACGGCGATGACATCAACTAGGTCAATTTAGATATGACTTGCGCGGCTTAGACGATACGTTCACCAAGTCAAGAGTGGCAGCGAACCTTAGGTTAGCCTCCGAATTGTTATAGTCTATTCAGTGCGCTGTGTAATCAAGCCCCCTGTTCTGCGAGACTGCGAGAGATTTGTTTGAAAATGAACAGTCAGGAACCCAAACTAAAGACTGGTTCAAGACTGCATGACCCTGCAATGGGCGACGGAGGTCCCGATGGTGAGTCTGATTTGAGAGCTTGCATATTGTGTGATACGAGGATTTCCACAAGCGAGATCGGACGCGATATAAGCTGGCCAGAACAGGCGCCCAACTTGAAGTAGTCAACGGAATGCCGAGTTCAAGATGTCAACCCGCTACAAGCTTTCACCGCAATGTTACATTCAACTTTACAAACGCGTTTTGAAACCGGACGCAGATAGACCCATGCTACTGTACACTAGAACGCGACGTCCATACTACCTCAGACATTCTGACTACACAGTGTACCCCTGGAAATGTACCAGACGTTTCAGTCGCTACCGCATGCTAGGGAACGCACACCACACTCACCCCATTCACCATGATCACTTGGCCATTTACCCAACTGGCCTGCTCGCTCGCAAGGAACGCAACGACGGGACTTATCTCGTCCGGTCGCCCAATGCGCTTCGCTGGATGTCCGTTCACGAAAAAGTTGATGAGCTGCTCTGACTTGCCGTTCCGGAATAGGTCGGTGTCGATCGGACCAGGCGCGATGGCGTTAACGGTGATTCCGCGCGAGCCGAGGTCCTTTGCGAGGACACGAGTCATTTGATCGACCGCGCCCTTGGTGGCGGCGTACAAGAGGTAGTTGGCGGGGATGACGGAGTTGCGCGTGAGCGACGTGCTCAGCATGATGATTCGGCCACCTGACGACACGCTCAGCTGGTTCAATCGAGAGACAGAGGCGGACAGGGGGTACGCACCATCTTTCATCAAAGGCACGGCAGCCTGGATCATGAACAACGGAGCCTTGACATTGGTGTTGAAGTGCTTGTCGAAGTCCTCCTCGGTGACTTCTGCCAAAAGTGCGTTGTCCATGACCGCCGCATTCAGTACGAGAATATCGAGTTTGCCGAATACACGGACAGCTTCGTCGATCAGTCGCTGCGCGCCGTCCTTGGACCCCACATCGGCCTGCACGCTCGTAGCCTTGCCAATGCTCGCCTTGTTTATAGATTCCACAACAGAAGCGGCGGCACCAGGGCTGGAGACATAGTTGACTATGACGTTGGCGCCATCGGCGGCAAGCTGCTGGGCAATGGCAGCACCAATCGAGCGTGACGAGCCTGTGACGATAGCAACTTTTCCAGAGAGAGAAAGCGACATGGTTTTGCTCGACTTTGTCTAACTGTGAGCTGGAGTGAAGGTTAGATACTGAAAAGGAGGCGAGACAGGGGTATTTAAGTCGATCAGATCATCGCGAGTTAGACCGCTGAGCGGGCAAAGGTGGGCAAGAGGGGGCTCGAGCCCGAATATCCACACATGGTGAACCAGACAGCGATGTCAACTGACAACCACAAGGCGAAACGATAGGTGTTGCGCGGGTTGTATGTGAATGCACGCTGCACCCGGATTGGCATGTAAGGCCCAAGCGCCAGTGGGAGCCAATCAGATCAGTGACTGCAAAGCGACCCTCCATCAAGCTTGCCCACTTCTGCCCGCAAATTACGACCTGTTGAGATATGGAACACTAGTTTCGGGGCCGACATTTGAATATGACATTGACTGAGTCTCCGACAAAGGTCAGCAGGTCCCTTCCTCTCGCTCTACGACTTGGCGCCGGCGCGGAGAAATGAAGTCTGATGCAGACGAGCGCAGTCAAGACTCAAAGAGATGTGAATGAGTGTGTAATAAGATAGTGAACGAACCTTGCAATTTTTGCTCATCGGCTTTGGATATGATCCAAAATTCGATTCTCTGTTTCCCTTGGAATGGCTTCTAGTTTTCGATCTGGCCCCGCAGCGGTCACTTGCCACCACCAACATTTTTCCTTGTCTGGTGGATAACCTACCCCCGTATTTACGTAGCAGACAGTAGGAATGCGTACTGCCAGTCGCTCCAGACACCGCCGAAGGATAGAGAATTCCCATGTCGGATACAGTGGGTCAACGAATAGAGATCAGATTTGCAGACCTGAGCTGTCAGCCGATGTTATTCTGTATTGGAACTCGTTCAGTAAGAGCAGTTGGGGTAAAAGAGGTTACAGGTTCAACTCACCGCCTGAGAGCGAATTTAATGAGACTCTGCACAATATGACAGCTCAACGGCTAAGCGTTGCAATCTCGGAGTTGGGGTAATTAGTATTTTCCAAAATCTCCCGTTAAGATGTGAACGTGTATCAAGTGGAAGTGTGACAGCTAGTGGAGAAGTCCTTCTAACGAGATCTTAGGACGTTGTCTCAATGAGCGATACGGATGGGCCAGTGAAGGTGGACATGGTGTTCAGAACATGTGATACAACAATGAGTGAGGTTGTGAGGTCCTTGAAACATGAAAATGTGGTCTACAGAAGAACCACATGACGCAGTATATGGAAACCAAGTATAGCCTATCAGCTGTAATCGGCGCAGTCGTAGAACACGGGTACAAAGAAAGCCAGGGAAATCTTGCTGTGCACGAGAGTTAGGTCATTGACAGAGGACTATTGAGGCATTCCAGCAGACAGCATCAAGTCTTCGACGGGTGACCTACCGATCTCTGGCTCTTGCGTAAAAAGGCCGCAGTCCAGAGTAAGAATCCAAACACTGGCCGGCAGTGAACCTCTCCAAAATGATCCTCCCACGAGAGTCAAAATTGTGAACTCGCGTGGACCACTTCCCATTTCGCTGAGGACGTAGACAGCGGATGGACCAACTTGAGACAATTCTGCCTTCTCCAGTCGCGACAATGAAACGAGAGCGTCGCCCAGAGATGGATCCAATTCGGATTGAACTATCAACCATGGCAATCAAAATGAAGCTGAGGCTGACTGCTTGTCACATGAGTTCAGAGCATAGACATACATTGCGGGTCCCATCTGCACGGTGCAAAGGCGTCATCTCCTATGATCAATGAATTACTCGCAGAGGACATGCTCGTTCAGGAATGTCGGTCAACATATATCCGTAAACTTTGTGCATTGTGCCTGTATTCGATACGAGTTCTTCCATAGCGCGACACCTTGCGAAAGGGAGGAATCGACGTGAGACGGTTGATGAACAGAGTGCAGTATATCTGACTCAGGGACATATGAGAAGACGATAACGACAACGTCATCATGCAGAGAGTGTACGTTCATGGCAGATTTTGGCTACTGCTTGAGTGTGTACGAATAGGAGGAGGCTGGCCATGGGAGATTCAAAGCCTGTTCTACTCGGCCCGAAGCACTTGACGGTCCGAACGTCGTCGCGAGTCTGATTGAACCGTGAATTGTTCCTCGACCCCTCCTACCTCGTGCACTGCCTCATATTTATTACATGTATGATTGTCTGTCGATATCCCCACGTCCTTACATTGGATACTACTTCCTTTGAAGTTCCATACAGCTCTCTGATAGCAAAAGTAGTGACTCTGCTTATTCATGCTCCGAGCTCGAGCTTGAAACATCGAAGAGCGCGCGATACAGTGAGTGAGCTGTTTATTGGGCTGTACAGTTCTGTTCTGTTGTGATTGATTCTAACGCCTAGTTGTTTTAATGCGGGATGCGTATGGACCAATTTGAAGACTTATGTATGTTGTGACCGACAATCGAGTAATTCGTACACTTTCTGCACTATCATCGTGCGTTCTTTAGGCCCCTGCGCAACATATATTACTCGCAGGCTTCAGCTCACTCGCTGATACCTTGACTCGCTCACGTCATCCTGAATTGAGACAAGCTGGTCTGAGTCAGAGTCGTGTCCGGATATGGACATCGAATCTCAATCAATAATCATTCACCGACCATGTTTCACTTGCTCTCCGGGCACCGTAAACACCGCAAACAAAGAGCTCTTCTCTTTAGGCCCCAGGTTCCGCGTTCTGGACTCATCACACCATTTGTCCATGTCATCCCAATCTTTCATTTGGCTTATTACAGGGTGAGTAGGCTTGTCGTTATAGAATAGGGGCAGCATTCTAAGATTGTCCTAATACAGGGCCAGCCGAGGGCTCGGATTCGAGCTCACCAAACAAGTTGTCGCATCCGCGTCAAATATTGCCATAGCTTGTTGTAGGAACCCCGACGGCGCGACAAAGTTGCGCGCACTGCAAAGCTCCCCTGGCAAGTTGCACTTGGTTGTCATGGACGTAGGTAGCGAAAAATCCATGCGCGACTCTGTGCACACGGTCGATGCAATCCTTGCTGGCAGGGGTATCGATTATCTGTACAACAATGCCGGTATCGTACGTTCTATTAATCCACCTGACCTCTTCCAGAGCCAACTATGAGATTTCAGGCACTAGCAGACGACACTCCGTACAATCTCTCGTACGAACACCTTCTGGAAGTCACAAAGGTCAATGTTGCAGCGCCTGCTCTCCTGGCACAGCTGTATCTGCCTTACATCGAGAAGAGCCAGCGGAAGGTGATCGTCAACGTCTCGAGCAGTCTTTCCAGCATCGCAAGCGACAGAGGAACTAAGCATGCGACATATTGCATCACAAAGACTGCGATGAATATGCTGGTGAGTAATTTTACAGTATTGGTGTCGAGACACCTCAATGATATACTGTTCGACAGACATATAAGCAAGCGAAGACACGGCCAGATGTTACAGTGATTGCTATCGATCCAGGATTTGTCAGGACCGGTGTGTATCATGGTTATACTGCGTTTGCGTGACGGCTGAGCGTGCTCCAACTAGACCTCACCGGCCCACACGCAGACCTCGATCCAGAAGAGAGTATCAGCGGCGTTCTGAAGGTCTTGACTACTGTCACTACAGCTGACAGTGGTAAATTCCTCAGATACAATGGCACAGAGCTTCCATGGTGAATGCTACTATAGTTGCTCTTGACTGAAAGAGATGTATGACGCCAGCTCTGAAGCTCGACACAAACGTGCTGCTCCTGTGAGTGAGCGTGCTCATTCCTCCCTTCGCTCTCCTTGCTCCGTGGTTTCGCATTCTAATTTGATCACATTATCTCTCATTTCAGGACCCCAGTATCTGTGAAAATCAGGAATGCGTAGCAATGAAAATCATCCCTCCTTATGAAACCAGACTCAGACTGGCTTTTGAAAGCCTTACATGCACTGATGATTGTCAAAGTCCAAATGGATCGGAATAAATTAAGTCAGATTGTCAATATGTGGTTCATCATTATTCCCGCTGTATTATCGACAGGTCATAAACATTCAGACCGTCTCGAGGCAGTTTATACAACAATTCGCACTGATATCACGAACCCTCGGAAATTAAGAGAAACCACACTATTCACCACGGAAGCTCTCGACCATTGTACCCAAAGAACTTACCAGTGTCAGCAATACTGACGGAAGTCACCACTTTGAGAACTCCGCAAATGCTCTCTTCTGGTTCTAGATCAGCGTTCGGACCGGCTAAATCTAGCGAACCTTTTGTCAACGATAACACCAATGAACTTCACTCATTTCCAAACACGCACCAGTCTTGACGAATCCAGGATCGAGAGCAATGACAGTAATGTCGGGTCGGGTCTTCGATTGTTTGTACGTCTGGAGTGCGTGCTAGGTTAACCACGAGAATTCCTCAGTTAGGCATCTTGAGCTCACAAGCATATTCACTGCCGTCTTCGTGATGCAATATGTTGCATATTTCGTGCCCTTGTCGCTCCCGATGCTCCCGAGACTACTCGAAACGTTCACGATAACTTTCCGCTGGCTCTTTTCTACATGAGGAAGGTACAGCTGCCCAAGAAGGGCCGGCCCTGCGAGATTGATCTTGAGCTCTTCCAAGAGTTCCGAGTACGAGAAATTGTACGGTGTGTCGTCGGTCAGAGCCTGCAATTGTATTGTGTTATGAGTCATGATCTTAGCTAAAATAAACCTTACGCACTATACCAGCGTTGTTGTACAGGTAGTCGATGCCCCTGCCAGCGAGGATCGCATCGACCATTCCGACAGAATCGCGCATGGATTGTTCGCTGCCTACGTCCATGGAAATCAAGTGCAGCTTGCCTGCGGAGCTTTGTAGTGCGTGCAACTTTGTCGCGCTATTGGGATTCCTACAGCAGGCTATGACAGTGTTTGACGCAGAAGTGAGTAATTGTCTCGTGAGCTCGAATCCGAGCCCGCGGCTTGCTCTGGGGATGATATCGACGTTGTTTTAGTACTTGTGCTGTCCGCAAAGCAAGATGACTTACCCGGTTACAAGCCAGACGAACGACTGGGAAGACATGCTAATGGATGCTAGTCGAAAGATGTCAGGGGAGTAGAATCCAGAGACAACGCGTTTATAACGGTATCTCAATAAGCAAATACAGCTTGTAGTATGTGACAAAGCCACAGGTCGGCCGGAGCATGCTGTATCCACCTCACCTCCGAACCATTCAATATCAGACTACACCACTCGGAATCAGTGTGGATACAACGCCTTGAGCGTTTGTACAATGTCATAGTTGGTCTGGACTATGCCGCCCACAAGTGCATACCAATACTGTCGACTTGGTCATCGCAAGGACGGAAATCCGATGCTGACTGACAAAAAGTACATGAGAGTGAAATACAGCTACCATGGGATCTCTTCCCCGTCATGCCTGAAGAACTTGCCCGAGTCCTTCGATGTCACCGACGTGGCGATCTTCAGCTGTCTCGAGACAGTGTCCTGCACTTCCATTGCCGCATCCGCACCACCCATGTCTGCCCAGCAATGAGTCTCTCAGAAAAACTCACAACTTGCGTTACATACCTGTCTTTACCCATCCCGGGTCAACGACATATGAGATCAAGTCCAGTCTGGTTTTCGCTTGTTTGTACGTCTGATATATATCATCAGCATTCACCAACGCAAAATCTTCAGCTTAACAGAACGTACGAGCATGTTGAGCGCCGTTTTACTGACGCTGTACGTCGCGTTCTTCTCTCCGAAGTCCGTTCCGATGCTGGCCAGCCCACTCGTGACGTTCACAATAACCTTGCGTTTGCTTTTCTCTATATAGGGCAAGTACAACTGGGCTAGCAGCGCAGGGCCCGCAACATTGGTCTGCAGTGTCTGCAGTAGGCCTGAGTACGAGAAGTCGAATGGGGAGTCGTTTCCCTCCATCTATCGCATGAGAAAGGCCTATGAGATACTACGACCGGCGTGTAGATAATTTACTTACGATTCCAGCATTGTTGTAGAGATAGTCGAGCCCTCGGTCTCCAAGAATCGCTGCAACGACCGGAACAGATTCCCGGATGGAAGTTTCACTACCTGTGTCCAATTCAACGACGTGTAGTTCTCCTTTGGCACTAGATCTGAGTGCTTGGAGAGCTCCCGCTTTGCTGGGACTTCGGCATGTGGCAATGACAATATTTGTCGGAGACGCCACTAGCTGCCGAACGAGCTCAAGTCCAATTCCTCGAGATGTACTAGGGTTCCATGGATCAGTGACTTGGTAAATAGGGACGGATGGTAGAGGACATACCCTGTAATCAACCAAGTGAAAGACTCGGTCATTCTGGGAGGAACTTAGGAAAGAAATACCCACCTTGAGGACTGGCTTAAGTACTGCCAGCAAATAAAGATCGCTGAGGATGACGAATCACAGTAGCATTCGGACAAAACGGTAAATTGTCGGGGAATTATCGCCTGTGTTAATAAACGCTGCAATATTTCCAGCGAACTCGCTCAGTCAGACATCCAGAAAAGGTCAAGTTTAGTGATAAGCAGCCTGTCCTGAACGCAGGCAGAGCGTATTGATACAGAGATACACATTCATGTTATACAAATCAATAATGACGATTTAGAAAATAGCGATAGGAACACCCACGCCCCGCGATGAACGGATTCTACAAGCAAATTCAACCCAACGTACAGTCCAGTAATCCAAATTGCTCACCAAAGGCCTCCAGTTTGTGCGCAAAGGAGCCTCACGAAGAGGGATTAAAGTCCAAAAATTTGGTTGCTCAGCAACAGACAAGGAGTAGTCTGAATCGGGTTGCGCAAAACAAAAACCCACGAATGGGCTGTGCCACTGCGCGCCGCAAAGTGCACTGAAGGACAGGATGCAATACTCCAGCTCCGTGATTCCAATCATCCTCCCCTCGTATGCCAATGTCCAGTAAGGTTACTTGGTGACAGCCAGCTAACGCAAGGCTCATGACGTCCAGGCCATCACCTGCTCCAGAGAATACGACTGGTTTAATCGTCGTAACGATCTTCCGTGACCCGCCGCTGTCGTTCGGACGTCACACCGACTTCAGTGCAGGTGCGCCATATTGTCCGGAGGTTTTGGTATCGCAGTTAGGCCACAAGCGCAGCGCATCTCTTCGACAGCCAGGTTGCTACTCGAATTCACTCTCTACTTTGCTCGAGGGCACACTCTCCCTGAGAGCAAACTGCCAAGGACCCTAGCGGCGACCAGCAGGAAAGATATCTACCGCCCCGTACGGGTCGGTAGGTCTTGGTTGCGGTCCATAAACGCAGCCCGACATATTGATCCACAACTATAGCATTGTAGCAGGTGAATCCTGGCAGCCATTGCCTACCCTAAGGCAGGCGATTGCTGAGTACCAGGGTCACATACAAGCGATGATTATCAATGTCCAGTCGTGGCCAGCGACCGGACACCAATGTCAAGCATCACATAGCATGCCCATCTGACCTCGGTGACAGTAACCTTAGCGGACAAAAACAAGAGTTGCCACACTCCTGTCCATCGAAAACGATAGAGCGGCACCGATAGGGAGGATATATGGTCAAAATCACATACCAAATGTATATCACCTGCCCATTCCTGCAATGCTCCCAAGCAAGCTCAGTTGCGTCCATATCCCTCCCTTGGCGCCGCGTCGTACCAACGGCCGAACTGGCTAGAGATCTCTGGGAACGAAGACGTATACCGGTGCGGGTTTCTGGTACACCGCTCGACATTGGCAGTCGGATGCAGCTAGCATCAATCATGAGGAATAAAATACTCAGACCTTAGCCCGCTCGCGAAGAAGGACCGGAGGACCAGCCCTGTGCGGGGCGAGCGCATTGCGGCTTCGAGTCTGCTGCTGGCACTGAAGACGAGGACAATGCGCGCTAGCGGTTGATAAACGAAATTGCGTGGGAATATGTGTCGCCATCATGTGACTGTCGCGCCTTGTGGCAAGCTGTGGCGGCGCCGCGAATGCCAGTTGAGGTTCTCCTTGAGACTCGTCTCTGATCAGGTAAAAACAGGCGCAATTGTCTTCACACACCGCTACCCCACGCTCTCTTCTATCATGGATCCTGCAGGCCTGCCTACGTCCAACCATCCGCAATCACAAGCTGTACAGAACGATGGTCCTGCTGTTCCTCACGGTGAGAGTCGATGGGTCAAGAGGCCACCTTTGAGGCGTACACCAAAGTTTCGCAGAATTCCAGGCTTCTCTGACGATGACAGCGACGACTCGGATGATGACAGCGATAGCATATTTTCTTCCAGCGTTGTCTTTCCCTTGAGTCAACACATCATAGGCTCTGACGACCCTGACAGCTCCTCCGATTCGGACGAAGACGACGACCTCGCTCAGGCGATCCGGTGTGCGCCCGTACGCGTGGAGTTACGACCAGGTACTGCAAGTACGTTCGGACTACCGAGTTTACGTCCCCCATCACCATTACCTTTGCCTACTTCTCCACCCTGCGCGACAACAGAAGAAGTCGATATCTTCTCTATACCTCCCTCGTACCATGGTTTCTCTTATAATGCCCTGGCTTTAGTCAGAAAGGTCTGGAATACCCGCTGCCGCCAGTTTTCGCACTGCCCCACGGAGAGTGACCCCGTCAAACCTAACGCTCATACAAGTTATGCTGGACTATTCCCACCAACATGTTCCCCAACGCGTGGTTTTTTCCATTCGACAGATACTCCCAGCAACGACTATCGCCAGATCCCACCATTCCCGCGTGTGGCCTCGTCTAATCCAAACGTACCCATTTACCCTCGCATCGGTGATATTTCCAGCTTGCGCGACGACGATCCTGCCGCCTTGGACCGTGTTTTCTGTCACTTTCCTCTGTATACCATACGCAAGACTCTGTATCTCCACGATGTCCAACAGCAAGGACAAGGCGATACCCATAATCTCCACTTGCCCTATTCGGATTCATCTACCGGGAGTGACGACGAGCAGACGTTGGTCGGGGAAGAACCGTCTTGCAAGCGTGTCAACGACAATTTCAGCGCAAATGTCGTATCCGACTCGATGTTCTTGCCACTGACGGCGCGTCGGTGGCAATATGACTGGCTGCTGCGCTGGCAAACACACATGGATCCGTCTAGTCAAGAATATCCCCCCTCCCCATCGCTTGTTCTTGATATCTCGGAGACCCAAACGTACCCATTCGGGGAAGAAGTGGACGATTTGGCCGACTTCGAGCGACTGGACATGTATGACCAACCTGAGCGACCTACATCTCCCAAATTCTTCTTCGCGAGCGAAGAGGACGATGAAGCTGCTGACGATTTGTATGTATCCTTACCCCATCCGCCCAGCGAGGGCCTCTTTTCTTCCTGTCACATGGCGGCGATTGCGACATAGCATTAGTACGGACGGCCTCCGATCATTGTATCACACTAAGAGAGCTTCATTCTGCATAGGGACATCCTAACCACTGTATTGAAGTTGTATGGCTTGTGTTTCTACCAGTACTGCAACATGTGATTCTCCCTTGAGGTTCTGGGTTTACTCGGGGCATGTACGACGCTGCGGTGCATTCTTTGAGAACCCCGCAAGATCACTACCCAATATCTAGCTCGTTCATTTGCGACTCACGTTTATCGAGCATACCTCGCTTCTCTGCAGTGGGACTTGCAAGGTATGGCCTCATTACCGGTTTTGAGGGCTACTGACACGTCAGATTTTAGTGCAATGCCGGCAAACATACGGCTATTGCATGGTGGATTGTTCAACGTTTGCGGCGCTCGCTTTCTGTATAACGGGATCATTCAACGGACATGCTGCTACTATACCATTGTGAGAGGTTTCCCTCGTGTGGGTTGTTGGAGACGAATCTCAGCCTTACGGGTGATTTCACGTTCACAAGATCGGTACAACTCCATTTGTGGCTGATGACGCGGGGTCCGGCCGACGAGAGCTTTCCAGTGTCGCAGGCTGCGCAGGCGATTTTCCGTCATATGTCATACTAGTATGCGCAAGCTCAGAGTGGCCTTGAGGCACCAATGTTGGAAACTCTCTGCTCAGGTGACACTGATTTTTTTTTTTCGTTATGGCTGGGATCCGAGGAGGCAAGGTTCAATATACCTCAATCTGGTCGCATAACACCCACCCACCCATACTAGCAGAAGAACACGGTCCGGGAACGCCAGCACGGCACCCACGTTGCGCTCTGGAGTTTGCGCTGTGCTTCTTCGGAGCGGTCCCGCTTCATCATCCTGCACGCCGTTGCATTTCATTATGGTTTCAACGAGGCGAGACCGGATGTACTGCCGATCACCTCTTCGGGTTCTGTGAAGTGTGTGGCTTGATCGCTCAGGACGTGGCGCCTGATCCTGCAGCTGGTGTGTCGAAAATCATCCTTTGCGATGCATCCGGTGAAAGACGTTCAATATCACATAATGATTTTCAGACGAAACGTCCAATATAACTGCTATCAGTATCCGGCGCGAGAACGGAGAGGAGCACCAAATTTCAAGTACAGGACGTCACCCAAGATCAGTTCTAGACTCATGAGTGTGATACATAAGCGATGATCGCAAGGCATATACCCAGTCACGAAGCGGTCGAATTCGTGCAGCTGGAAGGACCGAAATTCTTCTCTTCCAGGTACATCTGCACTACCATGACCAAGCCGAAGCCTGCTGGGATCATAAATATAACCACAAAGAGGTAGTGCACCCAGCTGGGAACAACCCGTCCCCATTTTGCCCGGATGACCCATACGAGAAGCGTGGTAAACGCGGCTAGCTGGTCTGCAGCCAGCCAGGCCATCATCGCGGCGCGCTGCACCACTGTACTGCTACCGGCACGGAAGCGTGTGATAACGTAGAGGAGGGCATAGGGAATGCATGTCACGATAAACAGGGCGGACGAAATTGCCACGATTTCTTCTCGAGATGCGTGTTCTGTCTCCCCACGCCGGAAGTATGTTTTTCCGGACGCACTGTGGGCAAGTGATTTGACTTGACTGTCTTCAAGTACAGCGGATGAGTGGCTGTGGATGCCCAAGTCGCCGTCAGGAGCAGGATCCTGTTGCTCCTCGCTGAGTGGGCCATCGTGAGAGATAGCAGATATCTTGAAAATTATCAATTGATCTCGCCGAGGTGTCGACCCAGGGCTGTGGATGAACTTCTTGATGCTCTTCCCGTCATTCACCGAGACGACCCTCACCACCTCCCCATTACTGTGCATGGTCTCGAGCCGGAGCTTGACAGCAGTATACCCTGAGGCAGCCTGCGTTCCGCATAATTTGCTGGCTTCTCGCAAACGGCCGACTGTGCCGTCGAACAGTCCACCCGGGCGCCGCTCGGCTTCCTCCAGGATGTGCGTCCGCAAGATATGACCGCTAGATTGGTCCCCGACAATCGCGGTACAAGCCATGTTGACTGCGGACATGAGTGCATATGGGATCACGGACAGTGCGTACGCCGCGTAACCCCAACGGGAGAATTGGTCAGGTTCCGGTAAGGAAAGAGTGAATATTGCAGCGCCGATTTGGATGATCGCGGAGAATATCTTGAGGGTATTCGTTGAGCGGTGTATCTGAATCTTGTGCGGTTCCTGTATGGTCTGGTCGAGTATATGCTCTGTAGTTGTTTTGTCGGAGGGAACAGCTAGTGTATAGCCCTCTGGAAGACGCTGCTCGCCGTGCAGTAAATAGTCGTTTTGATCTACTTCCCAGTGTGAATCTTCTTCGTGGTCATTGTCGATATGGAAGGCAGCGTGCCATCGAGGTATTTCTCTAGATAGCATACAATTTTAAGCGGAGCAATATCGTCTCGATAACATTGAACACACCCATCCATATACTTCTCGCAGCCATAGTATGCCGGGGGGATTTTTACATACACAAATTCATCCTCCGTTTCAGACGGGGCCCAGCCCTCGGTCCTAGCGAGAAGTAACAGAGTGCCGTGAACCAACGCGGCGTGGAGGTGCTTCTTTCTCCATTTTAGCTGCTGATTGATGAGCAAAATTGACCTCGCCAGGCCGCCGAAGGGGAGGAAGAAAGAAATAATGGAAGTGTACGGGAACGAAAATCGAATGGCTGCGCGCTTCGTATATCGCCCGACTTCGCCGGAAGGCACGGAAATGGCATGAGCGACGTAGCTTGTGCCATAGAAGACGAGCAAGTCTTTGATGGTCTCTATATTTCGAGAACAAATTAATTGCGGAACTTCCACTAGTTGGGACGGAAGAGGCGCCGAAAGCGCGAGCATGAAAAGAGAGCTCACGACCAGCAAGTGCAACATGGGGGTTGAGAGTAAAATGGGCTCCTGACAGGCATTCGGAGAGGGCCCTTCCAATCTGGCCGCATTTATACTGCGAACATGCTGCACGATTGCCTTGCGCGTGCAAGGCGCGTGCAAGGTGTGAGATTATGGAATCCCAGATCGTTGCGGATTAGTATGTGTATACGCACTCGATCCAAAACAATGGATGGCCAGGACTTCACTTTTAATCTTCTGCTTAGGAGCACATAAGATGCATATTACGTATTCTTGCAGAATGATACTGTGCCGTTTCAGCTGTGGTCCTACTTATGACGGAGTAAATGTCTGCTCCACAAACCGCAGGCCCGAAGACGCGGCGCTGCAGATATCGATAAACAAACTCGATCGTTCAAATGGAGAGGTTGGAGAGCGAGATCTTGCAAACGGTGGCTGGATAGAAACATTTCACTACCATGGCGCATCAGTAGCAGTACCACAAAGTCACAGCAATGGAGTCATACCATTTATGACACTCCAAAATAATTACTCGTGCGAGTACCATTGTTGCGAATTAGCGTTGGCAGTTAGGAACCATAGTGGGTGACATGATCCAAGAGCCTGCCAAATGACGGTCGGCTTTCGCAAAATGAGCGCTCGCTGAGGCGAACTGAAGCAGACTGCAGCCGATTTGACTCGCGCGGAGGGATCGCGGCGCCACATTTCGACAAATTCCGATCTTATCCCGCCTCGCGGCCCTCACCTACATCTGCAAGTACGCCTTTGGCGAGCTCGGGTACCTCAGGCGGTGAGCTCGCTCATCGATCCGGCAAACATATATGAATAGGTTTGAGATTGGCCCATTTGCTACATTCATATCGTTTATGGCGTTCTTCTCTCTGACATATGGGCCGGTTTTCTATTGCCGAAATATGAAGAGATCATTTCCACCGTGACTACCGAGGACAAACTTGCACCACGGAGCAGCACTAAGAATATCAAAGTAGCGCTCCCCCGCTCCCTCATGAGTATTCAAATAACACAAGGGGCGATGCCAAACCGGCCAAAATTGGCGTGCGCAGACACCACCGGTCGCATGATACCCCAGTATGAAATGTATACACAAGAACAAAACTGTACAGACGGCAAGTGAGCAGGTTCTGGAAATGCTCTCTGAATATTTCTTTCTCTGAGGCATGCCCCAAGGAAGTTAGTTATCTTACGTTGCTACCAAATTACCATCCACCAAGTGGTGTGTGCAAAATGCCCTCAGTAACATTCTGAGAAAGGGGAATGTCATAGAGCCACTTGACGACGAGGTCCTGAATCATCCATCAGAATTCGGATGCCGAGAAAAATGTCAACAGAAAGCTCTCACCAGAGCAGCCTCAGGTTGGTCGTACGGGACCATGTGTCTGCAGAATCCACACCATGAGCGATTGAGCTGAAGATGTTCAGTAATACTGACCCGGCTTCGTGAACGGCAACAAATGTAACATTGCCTGCGGTGTTACCACCTCCTCCAGCAGAGCGTACAACTCCTGCCACGCTGCCTGTCTCCGTCGTTACCCATGGCAGAGGCTGGCTAGCAGCGAACTCCTTGTGGAAGCTGGTCTCGAGTTGCTCAACCCAACGCTCGTTGCCCTATAACGCCTGCTCCATCAGCAGCAGAGTAGACTACAGTAATTGAAAACGCACGATGAAGTTGCACATCATGTCAGCGGTCCCGGCGTACACTAACAATTTCACACCGTCCTCAATGAGCTCAGGGAGAAGCTTTGCGCTGTTGTGGGCACCATCCCCCTGGAACGCAAACGCCTGGTTGATTCCCGCATTGCAGCTCTGGAACTCGAGCTCTGGATTGACACCCAGCGCGCGCTTGTTCTCGGGCTTGTTCATCCAGACATCAATCCACGAGATTTGTGCATAGCACGTGTCTCCATCCTTCTGCCTGTCGCACTTGCGGCGCACATCATACGGGTTGTATCCGAGCTCTGGTAGTTGATCCGTGAGCACAGATACGCGAATCATGCCAATAGATAGGGCAACAACTTACGCAGTAGTGGACCCATGATCTGGCTGCCGCAGTACAGTAACGCCGGAACGCACGTCAGACGCGAGTTGAAGTCGTAGCAGCTCTTCGTCAGGCGTTGACATGTAGGCACCTTAGCCCTCAAAGCCTCACATTCCGAACCGTTCGGATCATCGTAGACCGCGTACGGGCCTTCGCACGCCCAGTCGGGCACGCTCGCAGATTGTATGTAGGGGTCCGTCAAGCCATTTCCGAGCATGATCGAAGCCAGGTTGATGTGGACCAGGCTCGCAGCTGCAGCATTCTGCGCCTGAGTCTGGGCAAGTGCCTTATTCTCGGCATGGATTATGGATGCGATGTTAGGTGCGTAAGTTCCGCCGTAGCTCTCGGCAGCGATATGGAACGGGGCTTGAGAATATTTGGGGAAATGTCCTAGGAAAAGTTCCAAGAAAGCGTAGACGTCCTTTCCTGCGACAGGGCTGGTGTTCACCGAGGTGCCATCTTCCGCGTACGAGAAGCCGACGTTGACAGGCTGGTCGAGGAAAATAACATTGGCATGCGTATTCCAAGAGTACTTGTTGTAGGTAAGATTTGTACCCTCAGCCGTGATTGAACACGGGCCAAGCTCGAAGAGAAGGCCGGTGGAAGACGAGCATCCCGGGCCGCCGTTCAGCCAGAGAAGGAGAGGCGCTTTTTCCGGGTTGACACGTGCCTCAAAGAACCTGAAATGTGTATCAGTGTCGATTATGCAAGATAGACTAGTGCGACACTGACCAAAAGAATAGATGTTTGTCCTCAGCAATGTCAAGGTAACCAGAGTACTGCTGAACAGAAGGGTCACAAAGTTCAGGCTCCGTCATCCTCAATTGGTGATGTTCAAAAGCAGCATTCGAGACGAGCTCATCTAAGAACAATTGATCTCGTTTGATCAATATGAAACTGGAGCTAAACTTACAGGTAATCCCATTTTGTTCAACGAACGATCGCCCGAGAGAATCCATCCATTTGTGGACTTTCGTCCTCGTACTAGCGGCACCATCATGAATAGCATGTTTGAGGCTGTCGGCAATGTTACCGGTGAGGCTGGCAGAATCAACGCCCCCCAAAACAGTCTGATCCGGGAAGGGTGTCGCAGCAACCAGAGAGAGAGCCCCAAACAGCAGACATAAGCGAGAATTTCTCATCGCTACGATGAAGACCCACAAAACAGCGTAGATGGCTGCGAGCGGAGGGGATCGACGAAGGTGGGAACAACCTCGTCGCACAAGTGATACCCGCCCGTCTCGAGTCAAAGTCGCAATCCTCAAAAGACTTTATTGGGAAGGTGCTGAGCGAATACCACGTGATTAAACCTCTGAGACTTGTACCCGGGGTCCCGCCGTCCCGGACTCTTGGTACAAGTATCAATCGAATATGGAGGGCTCATTCTTCTCTAAGCTACACTCGTATTAAAATTCATTCATATGCATCCTGTCACATTGGATGCAATTTACTATCTAGCTTAGCTGCGTATCTGGGCAGATGAGATAATGTAGGTGTTCTCACTGACGGAACAGAGTACTGCAATAACGTGCTGGTATCTGTACTTTCCTCAAGATTATGAACTTGTGGCCGTCGTGCGGCGGTAGGTCGTGCATTCCTGCTTTCTGTTTCCTCGTGTTGTTTCGCTTAGTAACGTCAAACACTATAGATTCTTTAAACCATCAAATGTCAGCATAACGAGATAAATATCACCCTCTCGCCGCGATGAATTTAGAGTACATCTGCCTAATATCAGGCTGTTTTGAGCGAATTTCGTTTCACGTGCGTGCTCGATGTCCAGCTCATAGTTGTGCATGCTCTTATAGCGGTTCTCCGCTGATCTTACTCTCCGCTTGCCGCGATTTGGTGATGTAGCTGCGGCGAGACATCATCCGTGTAAGCCCAGTCTTGATTGCTAGTCCACGCAGCCCGCAGCCACATTATGCACGTCGCTGGCGTGGTGGCAATGTGAAGAATCTCTCGATATATATACCCTCGCTGGGTTGGACGACGGAATGTCTCCCGCATCTGGTTTAATCCTCCCACAATGCCCGCACTGCCCACTGACACTGCCGACGTTCCACAATATGTCTGCTATCAGAATGCAGAAATTCTGAAAGCTCTAGCTTTTTTCATGGGATCCAACTTTTTGGCTCATACAGCCTCAGTACCATCATCTGGGGAGCTTGGACGATACACCAAGCGCGCAGCCGCTCGAAAGTCGCTTCCGTATGCCGCGATTATATCATTATTTTTGCCGTTCGGTGGACTAGCCAGAGCCGTCCTCTTGGTCGCACAGCAGCTAAAATGGAAGTCAAGCGAACTTCATGCAGCATTAGCTCATGGTTGTATCTTCATTGTCGCGCGGACTGAGGATTGGGAGCCCGCCTTGAACAGAACAGAAATCGTGTACGTAAAACTCCCCTACAATTACGAAAAATTGGGGCATGCTTCGAAAAGGTATGCAAACGACCCCATTGCACCTTTGATGACGTCTTGACAATCTGAGTCAGTACACACTCACGGCTTTATGCTAAGTTCGAAATTCAAGGCGAGAAAGAAGACGTTTCTCATTGGTCAATACAGCAGCAAGACTATCTCCTTCATGGAGAGCAGCGCTTGCCAGCCGGGTATACGCTGGCCATTCCTGCGGATAAATCGATCACAGGGCGCATTATTGGCACTACCATTTCTGAACCAGACAAAGTGAAAATCCACCATCCACCGAATCTTCTTAGGGTAGCTGCTGCCATAGTCCAAATCGTCTCCGCCATCGTCACTATCGCAACTTCCACCACAGATCAACTCACGAATTGGGGATATTCGTCATATATGCTGTCTGTTATACCATACGCATTGATGTCAGCTATGAATCTCGCTTGTACAGGAGTCGTTGGGGACTATTCCTCCGGGTATGTCCTTCGAACACACATCATGGAGGAAGCTAGGCGACGACCCAGTGCCCTATTCGATGGCACAGTTGGCACCCTGAAAGATAGGAGCGACTTGATTGGCTCGCGGGGTGCGTCTGGATATACCGCTGTCAAGCTGTGTCTGAAGGAACGCACGTTTGACCGATCGGAGCAAATCGCAAAAGTCCTCGTTGTAGAAACGGAATATGGCGTCAAGGAATTCTTATATAACCCCGGCTCAACTGATTGTGACGTTAGGTTTCGTATCTCTGCCATCTCCCATGACGGTCCCGGGAATTATGGTCATTCACCGAAGCCTCAACACAAGATGGATACGCTAGACTCGGATGTTATCTCTGAAAGCGAGACGCTAGTCAACGAGGACGAGTCTCCGTTCAGCGAGAACCCACCCTACAAGGACATCTTCCGACACAGCGCATTCAAAGAGGTTTCCTGGTTCGAAATTTTGTATATCAGCATCTCATTTATCGTGGCGCTCCTGATACCCTACGTCCTCATCTACGTGTTCACGAATTTCGATAAAGGAGAGAAGAGCACCTTTGCACAGCGGGCATGGATGATGACATGGCTCGCTGCGGATCAGGTATCCGCGTTGGGCACGCTGATCGCTTGGCTAGTATGGACGAAGTGGGCGGGGGTAATACCTACCTTCGTGCACTACTGTTTTATCTCGGTCCTCACTATTCCGGCGATGGGTGGTTTTATTGTGGTAGGACAAATGTTCTTGGAAGACCGAGGATTTGGTACCTGCCTGAACTCTTGATATAAGAATTCACTTAGAAGAGGTCAGACAGTTCTGGCGTATACATATAGTGAACGATTAGCTATTGATCAGCTGTTGACAATCGCTTTTCGGAGCGTGGCGTGGAGAGTCGATAGTAATTTAGTCTGTATCTTTTTCGCTCATGCCTCTCCCTTTAGAGCGACGTACTTTTGGCTGTATATTTTATGGCTGTTTTACTTGTACTCCCCGTCTACACATTATTGTAGGCATTATTGTAGAAGTGTATCTTATCAAACGACAATCAGGGCTTTTATAGGCGCAACAATTCCAAATCGGGATGTATACGCTCCCAGTATCCTGAGGAAAAGGTAGGAATAATTAGTATTGCCGACTAGGCTTCTCAAACACCTACTCGAAGTCCGTGCATCCGAAGTATTTCTAGACTCGACTTCTGAGCGTTGAAGGCACAGTGGATGCTCGAGGGACCAAACAGCAGCGTAAGGTGCTTGTTCCCGGGCGATCAGGCCACACACTTCACAGATGCTGACGAAGTCGGTCAACAGTACATCATGTTCATACCATCGCATTTCAGAATTCGCGTGAATGCAGCACGGTGCAAGAAGCCGTCTCTGATGCACGAGTCTATGGTTCGTTTAGCGCATCGATGGAGCTTGGCCCGGTCTGAGAGCGTGCGTAAAACTTTGCCAATTAGTTCAGGTACAAGACGTCGGAGCAGCCCGTGCGGACAGAGATTCTCTGTCATCTCACGCTGTTCTTATATTTTGAAGGCTGTAAATTATGCGCTTCGCTTGACGAAATACCACTTGCTGGCAGCTGATCGCTTTATGAGACCGTGATGATCATGCATGCCGCAAGTGTAACAAGATTTGAATTGGACGGACTGACAATTCCAGACAACCAGACAAGAACAGTATAATTCACCGCTCCTGTTGCGCCAACTAGATCGGTTCTGACTGGCGCCTGCGCGCGGAAGAATATCAAACCCCTGTAATGTTGGTCTGGGTGGTTTATAAAAGCTATCTACTGCCTTCGTATATTGCCGCCGCGTCCCGTCGATATGCGTAGAAACGAACCTGGAAGTTCTGTGTACATGCCGAATCCGGGGAGGCGTTTGAAGACGCGTTTAAAGTTAATACTTGTGGTGCCCGCAGATACATGTAGACGCAGGCGACGCGAAATAGAAAGGTTGGTACGGAAACAAACGTAATACGTTGCTGGCAACCAATCAGAGATATCAGATGCTTGGACGCAGAGTGGTCTGATAAGACAACTTGAGGGTCCAGTAATAGCCAACAACGCCGGGCCAATAGTGAACGTTCCCAGCAAAGTGCAGATAATTAGCGAGATGAAGTTGAATATTTCCAGCAATTGTGACGGTTTGAACGTTGGACGCTGGTGATGAATACAACTTGAAAAAGCTGGTGCTGCGTCCATCAACTTTGGGACTTCCTTATATAGGCAACCTCTCGATCAAAGTTGTTGCGATCAGGTCAGTCGAATGCGGCAGCCTCCTCACGTACGCTTGGGAGTACCTCGAACGTGCTTGATCCTCCTCAGCGGTTGGCTTGGAGAATGTTCTCATCAGCGGAGTAGTGCTTGATTGTGACCGCCCTTGATATCCTGTTTACCGCTTCCGCCGGCTAGTTTGTAAGACCCAACTTTGTTTTGTTTATGGTCCGGTGGTTCCTGGGGTGTTGGGCAGCTAGCTGCACGGAGCTTGATTTTCTTGTCAGTCTGACCACAGCCACAGTACATTATGGTACTCATAGCCCCTCTCGAATGGTACGCCTTTCCGCTAATCTGTATCTTCCCCCAGGGGCCCCTCTATCTCACTGAGCAATCATGGCCCACGAATGCGATCACAGGTCGTTCCGAGAGGCCTCATCTGTCTCCAGCTTCAACAGTCAAATATCTGAGGATAAGGATCTTGAGGCTAATGCGAATGCTCCGGACTGCATAACGGTCCCCGATCCTGACCGAAGTAACACACCTTTGCCCAACCACCTTCAGGTCTGGTCGTCCCACACCATTACCAAGGCTTCTAGCGATACAATCCAGGTGCAGTTTTTTCATGCATTTGTCTTCGAATGAGTTCAGAATGACTACCGCAGGTAGCTGGAGAATTGACCGGCCAATGTCACGGACACGAAAGAGTAGAAAATTGTTCTCTCAATTCTATGGGAGTGGAATTGGACAGGCTAGCGGCACGGGTAATGTGCAGCATTTTTTAACTTCTGCCTTTGTTGACCTTGTGAGTTAGCCCGTTTCGATAGCGGTAACAGGAAATGAATCCACCCGCAGACGGATATCCGCTTATCCTCGGATGAGTACAGTGGGAAACATCGTAAGCCGAGGAGATATTGAGTAGTCTATAATCTCACTTACACACAATTTAGCCAGAAGGGACGTTTCAACAAGGTCAACCGAAAGAGCAGACAAGTATCAAACCATCCGTTGATGAACTGGCGCAAGCGTGGTCAAAGTGCACGGAGCGAGTCTGGGAACATGAAGAAGGAATGGTGGAGAAGTGGAAAGAGGAGCTCGCAAGTCTACTCACATTCGTGGGTCTTTTCCCCCCTCAACATTTTCCCCATTGGCTTATGTGGAGTCTTCGTGTAGGCCGGTTTATCATCGGCAGTCATCGCTTCCTTCGCCTTTCCTTATTTTCAGTCACTAGCGCCTCAACCTCTGAATTCTAATTTGGCCGTGTCAGCTCCAGGAACAAATGCGCAAGTATCAACCCAAGCTCTAGTAATTAATGCCCTGTGGTTCTCCGCGCTCGTGTTCAGTCTAGGGGCCGCTTCAATAACCATGTCAATCTACCAGTGGCTGAATCACCACATCACACGACCTCCTGGCACGTCTCGCCAGAACGTCCGGTTTTGGTACTTACATCACAAGGCTCTTTGGAAGTGGGGGGTTCCTCATATCATTGACATCCTGCCGACGTTGTTGCAAATTTCTATTATGTTATTCTTGATCGGAGCAGTCATCTTGCTTTGGTCGCTCAGTAAAGCGGTAGCTGGGATTATGCTCAGCTTGGTCGGACTACTGTTCGCGTTCTCCGTTGGTACTTCACTTATCCCGGCGATCGTTGCAGATTGTGCATACAAGTCTCCGCAGGCTTGGTGGTGGTTCAGGATATTGCGTCGGCTGAAACACTTGGCCCAAGGCCCCGTTGAAGTTTTAAGCGGTAAGTGCTTGTTCTCTGAGAATGTCTGCTCAGTCCTGACATGTCTATGGATAAGTGAAACCAGGGACCTCATTGAAAGGCCGAATTCGCAAATGGCAGCGGCGTTTCGACGCGTTTCGAGTACAGTGTAAGGACTGGAGACAGTACGAGTGGTACCTCCTGCGGACCGCAAAAGAAGGGAAGGAAAAGAAACTCCTGATGCTCCCAGAGGCGGATGCGATGATCTTTGACAGCTCTTTCCTGACTGAAGTGCTATGGCCATGCCTCAAACACAGCGATACGGAGTCCGCCACCCCCGCATTATACAGTGTCCTGCAACAACGAGCGCAAATACATATCGGCGAGAAGTTATCAGACCTGCAAGGTGACTCAGGGGAGATCGACCTGCAGGCTGTCACAACGATGGGACATCTGTGTGTTGACTTGCTTGTAAAGATCGCCTCCGAGGACGTTCCCCTGCCTCAGTCGAGTCCGTTACCTGCTCTCAGCTCATCCCAGCTGAAGGATCGCGAAAAAGATATTCTGGTTTGCCTATTCTTCCTTCTCAAAGCCATACCTGAAAACCAGCCGGATGTCTATCGTCGGCTTGGTGAGGTTTGGCGATCTCAGTGGGAACGCGGATCGAAAAGTTCGCTTGGCCTCATATTGAGTATAATGAGTGAGTGTGCAGGGAGATACCAAAGCGAACTAGGAAAGAGTGGTGCGTACTTCCACATATATCACTGCGTGACAATGCATGTCGTTGACGCTGTGTCCACTCAGACTTCCAAGTACTGATGGATTGTTTTGCTGCAATACCGCAAGAGTTAGGTCTAGAAACTCTCTTCAGTGTGGCTACAAACATTTTGCTCCTGTCGAGGGAGATGCATCAGGGGCTAGACCCACCCGATATTTTTGCATGGCGGCGAGACGTATTGGATACCGTCCGCGAATGTCTCCAGGGATCAAGCGGGGGGAGCAAATGGTGTCCTAGCAGCACTGAAAAGTCTCATCCCACTTCGCATTTTCCGAATTTCCTGTCGGAATGTGTTGCAGTGGCGAAAGTCGACGCCGGAATATTCGACGCTAAAACCCTTACGGCTCTTGAGCAGTTTGCGGCAACCTGCAATGACGAGCATTACATCATCATGGCAAAAATGGAGCTGTCGGATTTGCGGAGCCTGGTGGTCCCAGATGGTGAGTTTTCTTGCTCGCGTCTTTCATCATCTGTGAGCGTCTCAACGTATTCAATGGCAGCAGGTGGAGAACATGTAAGTGATCGTATTGTATAATGTTTCTTATGCCTTGCTGACCATCTTCTGTGTTCTAGCATTACCACTTCTCTCTGTTCTAAGTGCAGCTTGTCAATTCATTGATGTCATGTTTGAACCCTGTTGCATGATATTCATATCATAGTGGTTGTTCTTGATCGGCCCATTTCATACCATACCTGGTCTGCATAGTCTGTACATCGTTGTTCGAACTGCTACTGAATCAGACTACCAAGGGATCTCTTCTCCATCGTGTCTGAAGAACTTTCCAGAGTCATTCAATGTCACTGTCGTTGCAATCTTCAATTGCCTCGACACAGTCTCGTGTGGCTCCATGATCGCGCCTGCACCACCCATATCTGCGCAGAAGAGTCAAGATTTATCGACGATCTCAATTACCAAACGACTCGCCTGTCTTCACCCATCCAGGATCGACGACATACGCAATGAAGTCTGGCCGCGCCTTGGCTTGCTTGTAGGCCTAACCACGGTGTTGGGTGTATATGAGTACAAAAAGCCCTAACAGCGAACAACTTACAAGCATATTGAGCGCCGTCTTGCTGAGACTGTATGTCGCATTCTTCGCCCCGAAATCGGTGCCGATGCTCGCAAGCCCGCTCGTGACGTTTACAATAACTTTGCGCTTGCCCTGTTCGAGGTAGGGCAGGTATACCTGGGCCAGCAGTGCCGGGCCCGCGACATTGGCCTGAAGCGTCTGCAGTAATCCAGAATACGAGAAGTCGAACGCCGAGTCGTTGCCTTCAGTCTTGTCGAAAGATTTGTGATATTACAAGATCGGTCGTACAGGCAGGACGGGACACTCACAATTGCAGCATTGTTGTAGAGATAGTCCAACCCTCGATCCCCAAGAATCTTCCCAACAAGAGGCACAGATTCACGAATGGATGCCTCGCTGACAATATCTAGTTTCACGATGTGCATCTCTCCCTTCGCATCACCTTTAAGTGCCTGGAGTGCTGTTGCGCCTTCGGGATTCCGGCAAGTCGCAATGACAACGTTAGAAGACGAGGTTGATAGTTGTCTGGTTATCTCCAATCCGATCCCTCGAGAGGCTCTATTTGTTCACCATCGAGTGAGTTGCACGCTTGAAAGATCGTTAGAGAACTTGGACGGACACGCACCCTGTAATCAACCAGGTGAAGGAGCTAGACATATTGAAGACAATTGCGAAGGGCGATGATTGGCATCTTCGAATGTGACTGGCCTTTTATGTGCCGACTAGTAAGTTGATTGCGAGATAAGACGTTGGACAAGTGGACGACCGTAGGTCCGTTGAGGAATCACTTGGGAGCTGCGCGGACAATTCTCGGAGGGTAATCATTACGCGCCGCATCATCATGCATAAGCAAATTGACTTGAGCTTCTCCGAAAGCGGCAGTGTATTCCTTCGAATCAATTGTATACTAACTTCTTTGCATATTATTTCACCAATACTACCAGTCTGGTTTCCCTCTGTATCAAATCAAAAAATTCCTCCTTTCCACAGTACTATATTTTGGACATACCACATCCGCTTCCATGTCGGTCATTAACGTTGTTTTCGCATTTTCGCAGGTTGCAATGTGAATGATTTAGTGTGAATAGCCCGTATCTTACTGCTGCGGTTACCACATGTACACATATTCAATTGCAAACAAATACGGCACCATGGCGCCAACAACTTGCCCGCCTGACCAGTCCCATACCAAACTAACGTATTCGAGTTCAGACCACTCAGTCTTCTCCTCGGCTGGCACGGTCGAGATCATATTCCTGCCTAGACGACTAAGACACACCGGCCAGGCATAGTGCATGGTTTCATATCAGACGACTATATTCCCTTTTTCAGGCTGACGGTACAATACTCCATCTGTCATGAATTTTCGGGCTTGTTTGTTGTGTCATTGGAGCGAACAGGATCCGATACCATATTCGCAGCGCTGGAGGGGGCGAAGATCATGCTGTCAGGTAGCCCGCTCTGCGGCTGACCCAAATTGAAGCCACCGTTGCAACTCGCCATCTGTTCGACGCTGCTGTTCCCTGTCCATGCTTTCCCAGTAGCAACACGGAAAGTGATGAGTAGGGAAGCAACGATCTAATTTCCCATGGAGACGGACCCAGTCGCATAACATGTCAAGTTCATCAGCTTGGGGGATTTGCGTCTGTAAGAAGATTACGCTGCTCACCTGCACCTGACTCACGGTCTGGATGAATACATTTGCGAGTGCGTTATTAAGCCCAAAGGGTACAAGGAACAAGAGGGCGAACACAGAATAGAGTGACGCAGACTCGATGAGCATCGCGGAAATCGTAACGTAGGGAATACTGGAGGCATGTAAAGGGCCAAGTGTGCGTGTGATGGATCGTCGGAACAGTAGCAGTCTTCCGACGATGAGGAGAGTTACGAGAATGTTGAGGGTGAGCGAGAGCACATAGTAGGAAAGCGTGATGTTGACGAACGAGAAGGGCGACGAGCCCATCATCTGGACTAAAAGCGTGGTGCCGAGGGCTAGCATGTCCGAACGTAATTAGTCGTGTCGATGCTGGACCAAAGGGAATGGAACAACATACCCACTGACGCAAGCAGCATTAAGCAGGGAAGACACGCTAGCGCTGCAACCCACGTCGACCCACACCGCCGGAATATGACCAGAAACCGCCAGACCTAGTAGTATATGCTTGATCAAGATACATATGAGTTGATCTGGTATGTAAGACGCACGAGAAAAGCGTCCATGATCCAATTCCCGACTACGAAACAAACGTTTGCGATCTCGTCTACGGAATTTGAAAATTCGGCCTTGTAGTACACGCTAGGACCGCCGGGATAATTGCGGTTCTCGATGAGTGCGAGCTGCGTGAACTTCACTTGCGCGCCCATGAACAGCGTGCCAATGACGAAGATGACGCAAGTGAAAACTAGCAGGGCGAGTTGTCGCCGTGCTTTGGACTTGTCGCCATTTTTAACGCGCACCAACGCCGTGAAGCACATGGCGAAGAGCGCGAGCTGTACGCCATATACGATATTGGAGAGGAGCGCGCCCTGCAGGATGGTCTCCTCGGCGTATATTGCAGCGGAGGATTCGTCAGGACTATGAGGATTGCCCATGACTTACGCGAACAATCAGAAGGTTCGTTTTTCTAATCGCCGTATGCTGACGACCCGGTCTATCGAGAAGTTTGCAGAATGAGCGATTAGTGCATACGAAGGGTGGTGGATTGTTAGTGGCAGAGGAAAGAGACAATCATTTCATTCCCGGCTGACAGTTTGAGACGAAGTTATGAGACTCGTATATGGTTATGGACCATGCCATCACTGTTTGGTACGCGATTGGGGATCACTGTCGCTCGACGAATAGTGAATATGCGCATCCCTTAGCGCCCAAGCCTAAGCCTCAGGCCTCGGCTCCAGGCCGTTAGGGACCCGTTGTCCCTAGCCTCAGTAGTCGCAATGTCTTTCCGTGCTCCATATAGATTTTCGGATGAGCATGGCCTATTCTTCCAAATTCAGCACCTCACAATAACACACGAACCACGTACACGGAAGCTGAAGAACAGAATATTAAGGTCAAGATCCCAATGTCATTTGTCAACATCAACTTTCGCGGCGCATATACAATACAACCACGGACGTGCCGCGTACATTCTCAGCGAGTGCTGTGTCCCAATGATGACCAACAACTTGTGCGGTGCTTACTGACACCAGCGCCGCGTCAGATCTGTTTGGGTTGACAGCCGCTCGGAAAGAAGGCATACCTCAGGACGACGACAGCGACGCTGAAGATGCGAGTTTACTTGCTCTTGGGGGGCTCGGCACAGCCGCATGCGGCCAGTTGCAGGAGCCGCCGTGGCCTCGGTCTTGGCGCACTTCGCGGTGTCCTGTGTAGGCGAATCGTGTCAGCGGCGGCCCTGTAAACCAGTGTTGTCATTGACCCCATCAGACCCCGTCAATGAAGGGGGTCAAGTCAAACTTGTCAAGGTCGTCAATCAAGCTTGACCCGTCAACGCGCATAGGTGGGAACTGCTTTGTAACACATACGGTACTAATTCAGACATAAATATACTTGTTGCTCCTTTTTGGCTTTTCCTACGAATACGGTCGGCTGAGCGCTGCGGCACGCTAAGGCGTAGCTTGTGGCAAGCCAGCAGGGTGAATACTACCAAGAGGAGGGGCATTCATGTAATCAGAAATCCGTGAAGCATGAAGTTTTTCGTAGTAAGCCTTTTCATCCTCTAAGTTTCGCATCGCGCCGTGTCAGAAAAATTCAACGTTCGAACTCAACGGGTTTGTCATCGAATGTCCGGGCTGAGCGAAAATTGCACTTGGAGAATGGTACACCAACAGATCCCTGAGCGGGGTCTTTTTGAAGTGCACTGAATCAGTCTCTTATAGTTCGATGAGCCCGAAAAGACACTTTAAGATGTGTACACATACTACAGATTCTGTCGTGGGTAGAACTCCATTCTCCATCAGCCCCCACTTAGTAACGTTCACTAAGCACCCCTATATTCGCATCATTGCTCAGCGGATTGGTGGACCTTAACTGTGCGATCGACGCAAAGGAAGAGGTATAGCCGCTCGTGTATAGGACGTTGTTACTGAGACTTACCATTAACGAAGGCTCATGCGCCCGCGACGCCAACGCTCGTCATCTTCAAGTATGCATCTCGGGTTTGGTGATCCATATTCTCTATCATCAGGCTGAGACTCATCCCAATCAAATAGATGATTGTTGATCGTCCTGACGAGCACGTTGAGCTGTCTGAGCTGATTAAATTCGTAGTGGTTGTTTATACTGAGTTATCGGTGAAGAAAGAATCCCTGGGTGACCCCTTTACGGAAGCGAGACTTATGGTAGAGAAGCTGGCGCAACAGTTATTGGAATGTGCCGATTTCATCGCTCATTGTTCGGAGAAAATCGCGTTTTGTGAGGATGCCGCAGAAACGTTTCACCGGGTGGTCCTTGATTTCTTCAAAGGGAAGACATTGGGCAAGAATATTGATTGTGAGACCCATCGGACCACTGAAGGTTTTCAAGCTAGTCTCGATGGTCTAATGCAGCAGCTCCGGCATCGCATCGTTGAGCCGTTGACTCCCATCTACAGAAGTACGTAAGATCTATCATTTCTGTCGGTGGTCTGTGATGTCCAGCTTCTATGGTATAGCTTTGGATGTCGATTTGAGTAGATAAGACTTTGCAGCCGCTGCCGGACTGATGTCCAGATTGTGTCTTCCCGGTAGTCGAAGGGAAACTCTCTCGGCGATGGAAGAGTGGATTTTTACTGCGCAAGAAGACATGAAGAAGGTTTTCTAATTGTCAGGGATGGCCAGGAAGGGCAAGTCGGCTATCGCGCACACAATAGCAGACCGGTCAGATGAACGTGGAATTCTTGGTTATTTTTTCTGCATTGATCGCACGCGACAGACAGACCGCTACCGGAAGATATACAGCACCATCGGGAGAGACTTGGCCCATCGTAACCCTCTTGTGCGCCGCGCGTTGGCGCGTACGCTTGATGAAGATGACGAGCTCAGGCATACCGGAGACCTCAGGCATCGATGGACGAAGCTGATCAAGGAACCAATTAGAAAAGCATCAAAAGTGACTTGCGCACCTGTGTTGATCGTCATTGACGCACTAGACGAGAGTGGCACAAAAGATACTCGTAGGCTGCCACTCCAGCTGGTCTCTGGCAAACAAACTGATGCCTCAGTCCCTCTTCCGTCAAATTTTCCCATGCTTATTACGTCTCGCCTACTTCCCGATATTTACAATGCGCTTCGCGATCAGCAGTGTGTCGAACATGTCTCGTTGCATGATGTTGCAACGGAGTCTACTGAACGTGATGTGGGACGGTTTATCGCTGCAAAATTAGAAGATTGGCTCATCTTTCGGGCACAAGACTACGCGACGCTGATGCAGAAGTCAAGCGGTATTTTCGAATGGGCTGGTCTATCCTGTGAGCATATTGCGAACAGCACATCAATTGAGTCGAACCCCAGGAGCCGCTTCGATGCTTTGATCTCAGGAATATCTGCTGCAGGAAACCTTTTGGATGACATGTACAGGATTATTCTGACAGCAGCCATATCGAGAAACCGGCGCATGGATTCTCTGCGTATGTTTCGCGCCCTTATGGGGCAAGTTCTTGCATTACTGGAGCCGCTTTCGAGGGCGCCGTTGACCGCGATACGACAACGCATTTCTTCAAAAGATGGCGCAGACGTGGAATCAGTAATTCGTCCACTGGGAGTGCTGCTCACCGGCACCACGGATGACCAAACACCCATTAAGCCGCTGCACGCATCGTTTTACGACTTTCTGACAGACGAGAGCCGAAGCAAAGAATCCTTCGTTGGAGAGCCAACAATGCATCACCAGAGTCTGGCCTTCGTCTCGCTTCGCGTGATGAAAGCCGAGCTGCGTTTCAATATTTGCGGTCTGAAAAACTCCTACCTACCGAATGCAGCTGTGACCGTCCTTGAGGAATCCATAATACAGTACATCTCCCCGGAGCTGCAATACTCGTGCCGGTTCTGGATGTCCCATGTCAAAGCGGCGAAGTTCGCATCTCCTCTTGCGGCAGAGATTGAGTACTTCCTCACCAATGTGACTGTACTCTTCTACCTTGAAGTGTTGAGTCTCACCCAGAGTCTAAGTGGTACAGCATCGTTACTCTCTTCGGTTATACCGTGGATCAAGGTGCATTGGTGCTTGTAACTTGAGTTTCATGGAAGGTAACGCCATCATTACAGGACTATCACAACTATGCGCAGATTAGGAATGCTATCACGGACACGGAGCAATTAATACGAAGGTTTGCAGCACCAATTCTGCGAAGCACACCCCATCTCTACTTCTCAGCTCTTCCATCTGCCCCTACTTGATCCCTGACATTTCAAAACATTATCGCCAATTTTCCAGGAGCGATCAGAATTCTTGCTGGATCAATGAATATGTGGCCATCACTTAAGAAAGTGATCTATGGGCATCGTGATGGCGTCTGCGCTATTGCAATATCGTACGGTGGGCGGCGAATCCTTTCCGGATCGCATGATCGTACCGTCCGAATGTGGGACGTGGACACAGGGAAGCAACTGGGTGAGCCTCTTGAGGGCCATACGGGCTCGATCATGTCCGTCTCAATCTCACACGACGGGCGGCGGATTGTGTCCGGTTCTGAAGACAGGACCGTTCGAGTGTGGGACGCGTACATGGGACAGCAACTGGGCAAGCCTCTTGAGAGCCATACGGACTCGATCATGTCTGTCGCAATCTCGCACGATGGACGACGAATCGCATCCGGTTCGAATGACAGGACCATCCGAGTGTGGGACGCAGACATGGGGCGGCAATTAGGCAAATCTCTCTCGGGCAATACGGACCAGATCATATCTGTCGCAATATCGCACGACGGGCGGCGGATTGTGTCTAGATCGAACGATGGGACCGTCCGAGTGTGGGATGTATACATGGAGCAGCAAGTGAGCGGGCCTCTTGAGGGCCATATGAAATCGATCGCGTCTCTTGCAATGTCGCACGACGGGCGGCGAACTGTTCGTTCAACGAGACCGTCCGAGCATGGGACGTGGAAATTGGGCGGCAACTTGGCAAGCCTCTCGAAGGTCATACGGGCCCAGTCACATCTGTGGCAATCTTGCACGACGGGCAGCGGATCGTGTCTGGATCTTCTGACAAGACCATCCGAGTATGAAGCACAACTGATGGAATGCTTCTGCCTTGTGGCGGCTCTCGAGGACACACTGATAAACCTGAGGGTCTGGAATCAAAACCTCACTTGAACGTGACTCACGCAAGGCCGTATGATATCCCAATCTCTACTGCGATAAATTCTTCACAATCGAATATCCTCTCGTACACGAGCATGATTGTTCGAAACCTTGAACCATATGTGTCCTCCACTTCGCTCATCCGTGGCCGTCCATCATGCAAGGCGGTAGAATGGCTTCGAAGACAAGCAGTCCAGTTCGTTCCCAGAAGAATACTTCGTGCCGATTCAAGCCCGCGACGACAAGCAGTCCAGTTCGTTCCTAGCAGGTTGACCCATGCAGATTCCAATCTCCAACGACAAGAGCTGAGCGAGAATATGCCTTGCAGTTATGACTTCATTGATCCAGATCAAAGCACACACATTGATGCAGTGGCTCTGTGCAATCGCCCGATGTGGTGTTCAGCGAATTGGATGCAAGCGTTGAACTTTCCGGCTTCATTTTTGGGAGACTCTCAGCCTTCTGCCGTCATACCTGACCGGGATGGATGGGCTGTTGGCCCTAATGGCCAATGTTTGCTCTGGGTCCCAATTCAGTTCATGGAGCCGCCGCGTATTTAGGCGTCGGGGAATCCTTTAGTGATCTTCAATAGTGCATTACAGCTATACCTGAGTCAGTTCACACACGGAGAGGCCTGATATAAATGCTATGATCCCGATGCCGTGTAATATTCGGACTGAAGACCAACTTATTATGTAGATAGTCTGTAGCTAATCTTTATTGTGTATGTAGTCGCCGTGTAAATACATACATCAATTGTTCTACCCGCTCAACTCATGATACCAGCAGCCCCCCTATGTGGCGGTTGCGACCAGTCGTAGAATTGCACTCTGCTCGTACACTTATCTGACATAGGCTGCAGGGCCATGGCATACCGCCCGAAGTCACTATCGTTTTCAGCCCTCGCACAAAAATCTAGTTCTACTCGGGATGGCCACTCGCTCCATTCGCTATTCTTCCAGTTCAGACAGCGCGTAGAGACGGACGGATGCGCTGATTAGAAGACTGAACGACAATATTGAACGGTGCGACAAGTACTTCTCGCTGAACCACAAGATTCTGCTCTTGCAGCTGCTTCGAGTCCGCGCGATGATGCAAATACGTATATATACAAGCTGTGCGTTCTTGAGTTCTACACCATGTACATCGACATCGTCAAATGAGCTGATGCCAGCCGTGCGGACGCTCGCGCAGAGGTTTGCGCATTCGGGTGTGGGCAGCGAGGCGTGCCAATGCTGGTAGCTGTGGGGATGGAGGACCTGTTCAGCGACCTGGTTACGTATCATACAACGCACAATATTACAAGTTCCACACGAATTGAACCAAGTACATGACATGCAGATCATCAACGAGGGTCACCTTTCTTATACCACCACCAGTCAGTCGTATCAAGGAACCATCTCGGTGTGGCCTCCTCGCCTATTGCACATCCAGATCTTTCAATGTTCTCCGTAAGGTAAAGGCCGTTTTGCGAGGCAGTGATATGTAGTTGGTGTATCAAGACAGCAGTCATGCAGGCGTCGTTCAACGTAGCGTTCTCGATTTCCATCGTCACCGGTGGGATCGAAAGCTGAAGTTCTTCGTAGACGGTCGCGAACATCTGCATTACTTACTGCTGGAGCGATCCTATACACACAACACAGTATGCCTGACACAGTAGGAGCGCCACCTAATACCACATCCGCGAATAAGTGATAATAGTAAAGTAGAGGGAGAGGGGGATTGTACGCGACGACAACAATTACTGTGGACAGCTTGAGTAGAACGGTGCTACACAGCGTGACAGATGAGAGGAGTCGTCGCCGGAAGATCGGGTAATACGCATGGGCAAGTCAGAGACGACGGGCTTCTGCGCGAGTCTGAGACATCGTCGATCACAAAATGCTCCGGAGATAGCGAGGCCTACAACGTAAGTGTCGTGCACAGTCGACCATGTCAGGAGCAGGTACCAGCAAAGAAAGAGCTAAACTCGCCTCGTAAGCTGGCGGAGGCCCCGACGTGGCTGTCGGGTGGGAGAGCGCGTTAAATTCGGGGACGACATTAGTAAGACAAGTAATTGTCGGCCGAGGGCTGCGCGGGTCAGTGGGATGGGGAAGGGAAAATTCGCAGAGGCCGGTCGGCGTCTCATATTGATGTAGGGTTCCCAATCGTTCAGCAGCTTCCGCCCGTTCGCCTTCTATCTCGACCCGCGCCGTATTATTCGGCATGGATACAGGCGAGGAGACCTGCCGAAGCTCTAACGTGCATCGTTGTTCCACTTCATTGAGTGAATACGATCAGGAATATATTAGCTATGACTTAATCTCGGAAGAATGAATGCGTACCATCGCTTCTAACCATATCCAAGCTGTTCCTGCGCTTATGCACAGATAGACCTATACCACGACGATGGCGATATTGCAAGAGCCCGCACGCAATGCATACGAGTATAGCACAGACAACAGAGACGCTAACAATTACGGCAACGTAGTATCCGTGAGCAAAGGATTCCATCGAGTCAACTGAGGCGGCATCCACTGATTTGTCCGAAGAAGAGGCAAACACTGTGGGAGAGAGAGGATTAGGAATAGTGGACAAGAGCGTGAGGGACTCCAGAGAGATCGTGGTACAGCAGGGTGTAGAGGTGGTCGATATAGGCAAGGCCGCCGCGGCGGATTTATAGGAAGATGTCGTAAACAGTTTTGGATCAGTCAAAAGAGAGTAGGAGGACATCAGGGCTAATTCTTGCTCTATGGCCGCTGCGACTGCAATCAAGCACGAGCGCCGAGTGCGAAAGGAATGTCAGGGACCACGAACTACAGTCAGTGCGCTCGTCTTATCCTTACCCATAAATAGCACGCCTTCGTACGGACAACTTATGCAAGTGGAAGGGAAGAAATTGCTGTAACAGCAATACAACGATATAGTGGGGGCGCATACGTGGCGGCACTCGCCCGCTGGATAGATGTCTGACAAAATACCATCCCATGCACACATGGCAATTACGAATCTGTCCTAGGAGTCATGTCACGGCTATCAGAGGGCCAATCTCATACATGTACAGTCACCTACCAGTTGGCATACTCGGTGCAACTGAACCTTCCGGCTCACTGAAGAACGGAAATACTTAATGCGCATATGCTCAGGCTTCATTGGAATTGCACAGCATAATCACGTTCGCATTGCGCAGACACTGCAGGTACTGGCATTCCGGATACCCATAAGTCGAAGAACAAGCGCAGGTGCAGTGAGGAATGTAGTGCGATCGGTTTGCGATGAGTAGACATGTCAGAGGTGTACACTTCCCCTCGAATGCTTAAACCTAGTGGCAGCCGGAGCCACAACAGTCATGGACAAAAGAAAGGAATACTGAGCAATCCAAGACTCGAGTCGGTAACGGAAGGCCCTCGGGAAACACCGGAATGCGCCCCCGCGCGGCAGTCACCGGGCTCATACAGTGGCTATGAATTATGTATGTATGTGCTAAACATCCTATTAAAGCGCTGGTCTCTTCTAAGTCTTCGCGATGGGACACACAACTAAACTGCGGACAAGCCTTGTGGAGAAGCATGGATGGATACAAATGTTGAGAACAGTTTTAGAGCCCCGCCAGCGGAACGGCGGAGGATGCGGATGCTTTTGCGCAGAGTAGCATCGAGTATGAATTGACTCCCGCTCACTCTGAGCGCTACCGTCGACGAGACATCGAGTCCATTCTTTCGACCTTGTGATGATAAGATTGTTCCTGTAATCAGGGAGTTTCCGATGGTTGGGTATGGTTGCAAAGCCGGCGTTGGAACAATGTTACATCAAAGATGTCAGGTTGACCCGGGCCCATTATGAGAGGTCAAATAAATCTGGGCACAAAAAAGGAGCCTTTGAAATCCTTTGCAGTAAAGATATGCATATAGTCCGGCATCGTCGAGGACACTTCCATACGAGTGCACTGCAACCCACCGGCCAACAAAAACAGGGTAGAACGGGTGGGATGCTATCATTCCGAGGGGGGGCGAAACGAGGAATCCCGGCCGTCCACCTCGAACCTAATGATGCTTAGAAGACTGGGTGGGGGTATCATCATACCAAAATAGTAGAAAAATGAGTAGTGCGGTAAAATAAGAGCTTAACGAGAAAGTAAACACAACATTAACAATCCAGAGCTCACTAAATCAAAGCGTGACCAAAATCAATGCCACAGTCCATCGAGCATCCGCTCACCAACACCAATAACCATCCCGCCCATGAATTGGCTCATGCGTTTCCAGTCCCGTCCCAGGGAATTTCGCTGATGGTGTGCGTCACCTCGAAAGATCCCTGCAGGCCCACCGCTCTGCATCCCATATACAGCAGCTACAGTGACGCCGAGGACAAGGACGGCGCCTGCGACGACTGTCTTCCGCTGTAGCACCAGATGACGCGGTTTTCGCAATTTCCTCCGCGCTCGCTCGGCCTTCTCCTTGCGCTTCTTGTTTTTCGACGCAGACACGGACGCAAAGGACTCGTCGTCCGACGCAATCTCGTCCTCGGGCTCGATATGGGGCAGGACAATGAGTTCGGGCTTTGTCACCATTAATTCGGCCTCGTCGTCGTCGGGTAGCGCGCCAGAGTCCTCGGACCAAGTGAGCATAACACTCTGAGGGCCCATGATGCTTGAGAGCGAAATCGAAGGATGGGAAGGAGGGTATTGAGCGAACAGGCGGTCGGCGTTCATAAGCAGCGAGGTAAGGGATACGCGAGAGCGAGCGGGAGCAGTGTCAGAGGATGCGACAGAGGGAGAGGGAGAAGGAGAGGGGGGACGCGAATGAGACTGTGCAGAAAGCTCTTCGTTCGCATCAGAACCATCGAAGGAGTCCCCATTTGGTAGTTCTGATTGCGTGGATGAAGGTGGCACGGATGTTTCTGAACAGACCGTAGATATGTTCGTTGACTCGGTGATATGCGACAAGCCTGCCTCGCTGGTGAACTTGTCGATCGACTGTTCAGCAATTCCGAAACTTGGATCTGGTGGCGACTCGGATGTATCATCTAAAAGATGGTCAGCTTCATTCACTGATGGCGGATCTTCCTTTGCGTCACGGAGGACGGCCATCGAGGTCTTGTCTGCCGCATCTAGCTGAACTTCTGCTGTCACTGTGTCTTGCCTGCTCTGCTCATCAAGTTTCAAGTCCCCCGAGAAGATATTCTCCTCCTCCTCATATAGCTCTGGAAGACTACTCAGTATAGAGTGGATTGAGCCATCTTCACCTTCTTTTTCCATCTGACACACTTCATCTCGTCGCGACAATGTTACCTACGATTGAGCAGTTTTAGTGCAGATTACTGGTCAGCGAGTCATCGCTCCTGAGAAGAATGGAGCTCTGAACCTACCGCAGCGACTAGGTACACGATAGCAATGGGGTGCCTGCATAGCAGATAGTCGAAAATGTGCTGGATTAATGGTAAGGTCGGTACGTCATGTGAGAACAGTGTCAGAATATTGGAGAGGGCAAAATACGGCAGAGGTGCTGTTCTGTAGATCATGTTATGTGGGTTGCTAGTGGATCCACACGTAATACAAACCTTTCCAATATAGAAGCAAATTCTGAATCTACTTCGTGAAGTAGCCGTTTAAGCACCCTAAGATGCAGCAGTGAGTGCTTGAGCAACTTGACGACTATTACCTGTCGACCTACCGCAGGAGACCTACAACTGGCTCTAGACTGAGACCCATAGAGTCGCGCACTCTATGCAGGCTGATCTTTTCAGCACACGAAGTCTGTAGCTCCTTTGGAAGCGTTAGAAAAAAGACGGATATGATATCATGGTATCCCTTTAATTAAATGGGTACTCGGTCCACACGCGTGAGGATATGACAAGGCTCACCTGAAAGTAGTGCAAACGCCGACGCTTTCGAAAAACGCGCACAATCAAATCGTGTAGTTCTACCTGAAGTTTTTCGCGAGTCTGTACATGCTCTGTTCGGGCCGTAAATTCTGGCCAGTGAGTTGGGGACGGAGAGCGACTGGGGGCAGTAGTCACCTACTGGGTATAAGACGAAGCTACGGTCAGTGTCCAGACCAATCTGACGTTCGTCGCGATGCTCTTGTACTTCTTCATCGTCGCCTCCAGAATTCTCTTTTTCGATAAAGGTACTTGTGAGCGATATATGTGACCTCGACTCTTGCACAGCAGATGAGACGTTGAGCAGCGCGGGCCTTGTCAATTATGAGAGAGAAACGCCTCAACATATGGACAAAGACACACACCAAAGCTTCATTCTTTCCTCTTTGAACCCCCCAGGCTCAAGACTCTTGCAACGGAGTGCCTCCCACTCGATAGCCTCCGTCGCCGTTTGCCTTTCTTTCTCGCTCATACCGTTCGTTGTCTTGGAGTATGTCGTATAGCTTTCAGTCGAGAAAACAAGCGAAGTAAATTAGATATAGATTAGGTCAGCTCTGCGGAGCTTGACTTGACAAGGGTGAGGTGGTGGTCCACTGGAGACCGGTGTGGAGGACATGCTTCCACAAGCGCCCGATCGTTCTCCTGCAAAATAGACGCGCGCTGCTTGTCTCGTTCCCATATGCATGCGGCCCCGTGTCGAAAGCACGGTCTACGCTGAGTCTATATTTTGTCTCGTTGCCGGTAGCCCTTATAGTGCCTTCGAATGTACCCTCTACACCCAAGCAGGATTGACTGGCGATAATCCTTATTTGACTCGTTGGGTGTTGAGCTTTGGCCAACCATTTACCATCGCGATCTGTCCATGTGGCAACAAAATGACAAATGGGAAGTCTTTTAGTAAGTAACAACAAATTAAAATTATGCGATGTCTTCAACATCTGATGTTGTGGCAAAGATATCTTATGATTCTCGAATCGTTTGACCGGAGTGACCGTACTTTAGTAAGTGTGCATCCAGTCTACGATCATCTTTTGTAGCCTGATTATTGATAGCACGATTACAGGCCACTTTTGTTGTAATTTAGCGAAATCGGAAGAATAATTGACTAGTCCGCTAGCCTAATGGACTGCATCAATCACTGTTAGGGAACTGCAAAATCATAGACGCATTATGACAAATCCAACATGAAGATCGTTGTTCACGTCGCCATGATATATTTATTTCCTAATCATGCAGTTATAGAGGCTCCTGAGGTGCGTTTCGCCGATATGCGTGCTGATTTTTAACAGCAGGAATGCGAATGCAAAGTTTCTGCAAGACTGATCTGATGTTTAAGCAGGCCAGTCTTCGGAGGGTTTGGACGTGATCCCAGGAAGCGCAGACCATAAGCATGTGGTCTCTAGAGCTGAACCTTTGAACGTATACTGTCACAAGTTCAAGAAATGCAACTTATACTAACGATTTCTAAGCTCAAGTGGACTCGCACGAAGTGTCGCAAGATATACCTTCGGATATTACCTTGCCAGATGCATCCTCCCGACGTTTCGAAGGGTTTCCAAACATACACACTATAATTTAACACAATAACTTCCGCCTATATGCATCAGCTCGATATGATCGATCAAATTTCCATCTTTCAATCATGCACGTTAGCGGGCCACTTCAAACTTCGGATGCGAAAAGGGATTCCATATGTATACAGACGTACACGGCACACCTATCGCCTCGATGGCTATTTCAATTTTCCTCGATATGTGCGAAAGCCCATATGGCCTTCGATCGTCCATCGTCTTCTTCAGGTTTCACCTTCACCATGCGGCTGCCTCGGGAATCTTGTATCGTACTTTAGGAATCCCGGGGTATGATGGCGTCCGTTCTTATAACACACACGCAGCGAACCCATACTCGCGCCGATTAGCGTGTCTCAACGATGCTCGGAATCCGCGCCCTCGTTGTGTTGGCCGCTCTGCTCTGCGCTGTGGCTGCGCCTTCCTCGTCGTCCCCCTTCGTTGTACATGAGTCTCGCAGTCATGTTCCTCTGGGCTGGACTCCGCTCCGCCGCGCTGATGCAGACATGATCCTTCCCCTCCGAGTCGGTCTTGCGCAACCCAACCTCGAGAACCTCGAGGCGTATATTATGGACGTGTCGCACCCCCACTCGTCGAACTATGGCAAACACTGGAGTGCAGCCAAAGTCGCTGAGACGTTCCGTCCCACGGCCGAGACTGTCGACACCGTCCGCGCTTGGCTCACAGGCAGTGGCATCGAGGCGAACCGCGTCAAGCTCACCAGCAATGGAGGATGGTTGACGGCCGACGTATCTGTCGCGGAAGCGGAGCGCCTGCTCGGTACGGAGTACTTCGTGTATCAGTCCGCTAACGAGGATCAGCGCCACATTGCGTGCCACGAGAAGTACCACCTCCCTGAGCATGTGTCGAAACACGTCGAACTCGTCTCGCCGACGCTTCACTTTGATGCTAGGGTGGGGGAGGTCGATTCTCGACCGGTAGGGTTGGAGAGGCGAAATAACGAGGCGCGCAAGTCAAGTAAATATGCCGTTGGCCAGCCTGGATTCGGAACTAGCTTCCCAAAGACCACGGGAACCGTAGAGGCAGGTTCATCTTACGGCGTCAGTCTTACCATTGCACTGACTTGGGGTACGTCAGACTGTCTGGAATGAGCTTGAGAACTGCGACTCGCAGATTGTTCCCGACTGTCTCCGAGCGTTGTACAGCTTCGAATATGAGCCCATCGCAGTTGACAAGAACACCATCGCCATTGGCAAGTCTTATATCTCGCAGGTCCTAAGCAGCCCAAAGTTAACGCCTTATTAGTCGAATACACACCTCAGGCATACCTTCCAGCTGACCTTGACATGTTCTTCAAGAAGTTCTCTCCAAGTCAAGTCGGCGAAAGGCCTATCATGAACAGCATTGATGGCGGTGAGCATACACTGCTCTTGATTATGCCGAGTATGAGAAGCTCATTGGTGCCCAGGATATCTCCAAACCGAGTTCACCAACTTCAGTTACAACGGCGAGTCGGACCTTGACTTTCAATACTCCATGGCGCTGGTGGGCAGCAAGCAGCCTGTGAATCTCTATCAAGCCGGTGATATGGTTGAGGGTATGCGTTTACGGTATTGCCTACGACTGCACCGTATACATAATTTTCTTCTCGCGTCCAGGGGCTTCCTTCAACAACCTTCTCGACGCCCTCGATGCGAGTTATTGTACATTTGAAGGCGGAGACGATCCAACCTATGACTCGATTTATCCTGATCCTGAGGGTGGAGGGTACGAAGGTATGCGATATGAGTCGTTTGGAGATCATCATGCATTGTGACGTAGAGTTTCTCAACGCGTTGCCTTCCAGGCCCGGAGGATTGCGGAACCATCAAGCCTGCATACATTATGTCTACCTCATACGGTTACAACGAAGCCGATCTGACACCTGCATATGAGCAACGTCAGTGTGCCGAATATGCCAAGGTCCGAGTCATTTCTACATGTCTCCGCATATCGCTGATGACAGCTATGCAGCTCGGTCTCATGGGTACAACAGTCCTCTATTCATCCGGAGATGGCGGTGTAGCAGGAAACGAAGATCTCTGCCTCAACGCTGATGGAACTCAAACTGCAAACGGGACAATGTTCAACCCCTCGTTTCCTGGGACGTGTCCGTATATTACCAGCGTTGGTGCCACGCAGGTCAACCCAAATGCGACGGTGGGTGTCCTAGTGTGAAGCCGTCAGCAAATCTGCCTGATCTCTGGTCCTGCAGGTTTGGGAGCCTGAGAGCGCATGTGAGCAAGTGATCTACTCCGGCGGTGGCTTCTCCAATGTTTTCAAGATGCCATCTTACCAGAAGGCCGCTGTCGAAAGGTATTTGAGCGAGTATCCTCCTCCGTACTCCTCTGCGCAATATAACACTTCGGGCTCTCGTGGTTTCCCTGACATCGCGGCCAACGGGTGAGTGGTAGACCACTTTGTCCGCAACGTATTTCATTGAATGGTCGGTGTACAGCGCAAACTATGTGGTTGCCATGGATGGCGAGTTCGAGCTTGTGTACGGCACCTCGGCAGCATCTCCCGTGTCTGCGGCCATCCTTTCTGCGGTGAATGATGCCCGTTTGGCCATCGGGAAGGGCCCGATTGGTTTTATTAACCCTACTGTAAGCAGATTTCGTTGACTTCTTCATTTAACTTATTCTATTTGTTGTCTGTTCCCAGATATATACCGCCGAGTTCATGATGGCGTTTAACGATATCACAACCGGCTCGAATCCGGGATGTGGGACGGAAGGGTTCAACGCTCGACCTGGCTGGGACCCCGTTACTGGTCTCGGCACGCCAAACTTTGCGAAGCTCCTCCCACTATGGTTGGCATTGCCGTGAATGAGATGACTCCATTCGGATGGGTAGTCGCAGAGAATAGGTGCAACAGGTATTTCTGGATCTAGTAGAGGATACGTTGGATGATGCATTTATATAATTATACTCTCATGGTTGCATGTAGGGGTGTCAAATAGTCGGAGCAGATACAGCGTGAGCTGGAGCTATTGATGTTGCACGGCGGTGGCAGGTATCGAGAATTATGACCTCTCAAAAGCTGACTGCCCTGGCTTATGCATATGTATATGAATTGGTCTCATCCTTGTCACTCCGGAAACAAGACCAATATGGAACGTGTAGTAGGCACGCACATATAAGGCCAATTGCATATGAGAGCGGCCGTAAATGCATAGACGAAGATTAACACGACGTAAAACGTTCCATTGCACTAATTCAAGAAATATAACGATAGCGTACTCATTCAATCAATGCGATGAAGGCAGAATATATACAAAGTCTATTTCACGTACCCACGGCTATATCCTCACCAGAATGTGGTGACGACAAGGCCTCTTTCGCTCGCTCATCATCGATATCTATCGCTCCTCCATTCATCTCCGATGTTGGATGCACAAACTCGCCGATCCGCGGTGATGTCTTCTCGTCAAATGACATCACGAGACCCTTTTCATCCGGCTTCTCACTGCCATCCTCTCCATCATCATCGAGCGCCTCTTCCACAATAGCACCCTGCTCTCGCAAGACGGCCCAGCTCTGCTCTGCAATGGCTAAATTCTGCGCGGCGCTGACAGCCTTTACAATTTCGCCCTCGTGCTGTTCGTGTGATGTCCGACGCAGCGATCGCGCGACGAACGTCGAAATAATACGCAGTGGCCACTCTGGTGGAATCAGCGATATCACCTGTGTCCAATTCAGTATGTAAGCCGTCAATGCGTACAACAAGGAAGAGGATGCGCACATCAAGAACATCCAAACTCATCGCTTGCGCATTCAGGAAACGGGCCGTTCGCTCTGCCGTTGCCTCCCTATTGGAGCCAATTGATCAGCTTCTTAAAGGAACATACATACAGCGGATTGGACACACCCGCCACTCATGTACACCTCCAGCAATATCCGAATCAGACTCTTCTTGAGGTCACCATCGACCGTCGGAGGTCTGCTCATCGGCACAGCGCTCGGTTTAGATTTCATTGATGAGGGTACGAGTAACGACGCCCATTGCTGCAGGTCAAACCGCTCGCCGAGTGACTGGGCGAGCTTTGTAGGCACAATGTCGCCTCCGAGAGTGCAGTAAATCTCAGCGGACGTGTTGTCATGAAGTTCATGCACAAGAGACATCAGCGCAGAGCGATGTTCGCCGAGCTGGAGGACAAGTCATAAGAATTTACGCATGAGACACTTCAGAAATCAGACCTTGCCATCAACAATAGCCAACTCGAACTTGAGGACCTTCTCGTATTCAACCAGGCGCTTGCGGATTGCTTGTGAATCGTACAATGTAGAGCCCTCGAGGAATAAGATTGCCTTCAGCCGCGTGCGCGTCGCTCCGGAGTCTGGCGTCGTCGAGGCAAAGTACGACAAGAACGATGATTCTGCACGGCCAGAAGCATATGACGATGCTACGTTCTCATACAGCATTACCTTTCCATGCAATACGCTAGTAAAACAATACGACAAACCTTTCGCTCGCCAAAGCTTCGTTGTTGACTCGTCCGCCAGGCAAGATAGCAATTCATCTACACAGTTCGTGGCAAGTTGCATATGGAGACCAGGATCCTACAAATCCAGAGTTAACGTTCAGCCAAGCACGAAGTAAACCATGAACCATACGATACTACGCTTCTGCAGGACGAGGTGCTCCAAATATCTCGCACCAACAGTTGCGTCTGCTTCTTGAATCTGCTGCAGGAGCGCACGATCATCATCTGCTGTGCGCTTCCCCGAGCTTAGAGATGTCAGCAGCTAGTCAAACCGCAAGAATCAGCACAGCACCATTCTGACAAGCAGTCAGACAGACCTTGAGCGCACGATCAGGATCTCGCTTTGTGAGCCAAATGCCCCACCGCTGAACTAATGCCCGATCGCGCTTCTCGCCAAGTAGCGCGAACATGCTCGACAGCGGATCCTGTGCACCTGCATCCATCCACTCGCCATCAACCAGCCTGCGAAATAAACATGAAACAGTGATCGTTGCGGACTGTGTGAGCGATGAGACACCGCAGGTGAGTACACCCAGCATACGCACTTGGAATATGCCTCGAGCAGTTTCGTTTCTTCGCCACGCTGTCGGTAGAGCTTACATAGCACTCCGTATTGTCGAGCCTCGATGAGCATGGGTTCGAGCTCGGCCAGGACAATGTTATTCGGTTCGTCGATAATGCTTCGAAGGTCAGTTGGCTTCTCATGCTTAGTATACAGCTTCGCGAGAACGGTATCGACAGTCTGAAACAGTACACCTCAAGACACCTGTATTGGCACCATGACTCGAACATAAGACGTACCGCCCTAACCGCTGGCGCATTCCCCAGCGCGTCTGGCCGGTCGATCTTCGCCTTGGTGCGCCATTTGCGGAGAAATGCTTCAAGCATGTCACACGCAGTCATATTGAGGATACTCCTCAATTCGACTGTCGGGGGTGCGGTGCGCGTGTTGGGCGAAAGGTGCGGGGAATAATTCCTGACTAGATTGCCCGTAACTGTAATTAGTCCCGACAGAGGCGCAGCGCGGGGAGTAAGCCATGGGGAGTGGTTAAATGGGAGAAGAGAAAAGGGCAGTCACGGACTGCTTCAGAAATGTGATAAAGCGAGGTAAGGCAGCAGGGCGGGATTTGGCAAAGGGTGTACAGCCGGAAGCCCGCGAGTGTAAAAGGAGAGAAAAGCGGTGGAACGGAGATACGATGCCTCGATATAATATAAAGCGCATGAAGCAGCAACGCACCGACACATGGACCATCGGGAAAGACGAGCCAGCGGTCAAGGAATGTAGACCAGACGAAGCAAACAAGAACGAGCACTTACTAATTTCATCTATCGAGCCTTCGGTCGGCATATGCTCTGCAACGCCCGCAAAGACATCCACCTCGTCCTCCGCATTAAACAGCTCCCCACGAAACTCCGGATAGTACCCTATGAGGACACGGGGGTCCAGCTCTCCTGCAAAAAGGTGCCTGCCAGCATCGTCAAAGAGCGTCTCGGTCAAGCATTGGAATCCCAGTCGTTGGTACACGTAGTGTAGTTCCTCAAGCTGCAGGAGGTTATCAGCGAACGATTACAGGAAGATGGACAGAATTTCACCTCGTGATAATTCGCAGTGACCATTGTCTGCAGCTTCTTGCGCTGCTGGTCCGCAAGGTCTGCAGCATCTTCGACGCGGTGGCTCTCGAGCAGGGCCTCTGCCTGCGAGATAAGCGTGGACGGAATGAGGGCTTGGACAGAGGTAGACCCAAGGACGAGGACGTTGGCACGGCAGAAAGCAGGATTGCGGGTCGCCATTTGAGACCGAGTGATTGTTAAAATAATAGAGATACTGCCAGGACGTGAGTGGGATGCAATAAAATGATTAGGTGTTAACGATGCTCAAGATTAGTGCAGAGTACAGGCGATGTGAATGTTATGACAACAGCAGCAAGTTTTACGGAAAGACAGACAGAGAGCCCATGAGCTGCAGAGCAGATTCACTGCTTGTATTCAAGTTTGTGAAATACAATTAACACGCATCATCATGGGCGTCTACCTAAATGAAGAGGCGCCTACAATTCCGACTTTTTGCTTGACATAAGCGGGATGCCCGGCCTTCGAAGGGTTGTATTTCTCGACCCCTGTAAAGATCAATCGATACATTCACGTTACATACAGGTTACACTAGTTACTACGGTCTCATGTTATAGCTTGGTTGGACAAGTACTCTAGGTAGTAAATCTGGTATCTCGGCGCGTCCGAACATTGTGTGCGGTATCGCAGGGGAAGTTGAATCCCCTGTGTGCGCTTTTGTTGGGAATAAACAACGAAAAAAAGGCATTATGAGCTCGCGTGCAGAGCGGCAGCCTCTGCCGCAGACAGCGACTTTTC